TAGCCCCCATCATACTGTACGTATAGTTGGGGTTATTTTTCCCGATGTGCATTACTTTACATTTATCCACATTAAATTTCATTTGCCATTTTGTTGCCCAATCACTCAGTTTGGTGAGATCTTCTTGGAGTCCCTCACAGTCTGCTTCTGTCTTGACTATCCTAAACAGTTTGGTATCATCTGCAAACTTTACTACCTCACTGCTTACCCCTTTCCCCAGATCATTTATGAATAAAGGGCGATAAAGGCCACGTCTATACTAGGGGCTATATTTGAATTAAGGTAAGCAACCCCAGTTACGTTAATTGCGTAGCTTGATTGGAAGTATCTTAAATCAGATTTTGGCACCGTCCACACAGCGGGAGGTGGATGGAAGCACAGTCTCCCTTTGCCTTTCCTTCTTCCTCATAGGAGCAGGAGTACCTGTGTCGATGGGAGCACCCTCTCCGTTCGAATTAACTAGACCCGTTAATTCAAAACCCTGGTAGGAACAGGAGTACCTGTATTGATGGGAGCACCCTCTCCGTTCGTCCAGGGTTTTGAATTAACGGGTCTAGTTAATTCGATCAGCTGCAGCAGCTTCCATCTTCTCTGTAATGCAGACATGGCCTGAGTGTTCATGGAAAGTTCCCAAGGATTTCTCCTAAGACACATTCATTGATTAATCCTTCAGGAATTAACCAGGGGCATGTGAACTATTTTCTCATGCTTTACTGAAGACTGTGGTGAGTGTCAGATTTCTCTCCAACTTCACACACTGCTGCTTGGGAAACTTGCAGGTGGGATTACAGGGACCCTTCATCTGACAAACCCCATGCAGAACCGAGCAGTAAAGTTGTTGACTTTCAACTGCAGTTCCCTGGTTGCAGTTCTCCAGCATGTCCATACATGGTCCTGCCTGAGGTTTAGTATAAGAATGCAAGGGCGGGGGGGTTGTCCAGTCATTGGCTTGAACTATAATATACACTCTACATTCTGTGCTCGCATGGAGCAATGTGACAGAGGAGTTACCCATTACAGCTAAGGCCCTGTCTTGCTCTAACATTCCTAATTGGGTTAGGATTATGGAAGAGGCAGCTTGTTTTTCTGGGCCAAAGGAACAGACCCGAGGAATTTGCTGCTCTGAACCCTCAAGGTCCAAAACAAAATCTGAAATCTCTGTCTCTAACACGGCAGCCTCAGCAAAGCGAGATGTGCAGAGTTAAGATGTGCTGGGCAATCCAGATTTCTAGCCAGAGGAGCCCAGAAAGCCAAAAAGATAAGGGATTTGCTTTTCCTGAGGCTAATCAGGGCAGCAAATTAACAATGTTCAGTGCAGTGCAACCATATCAATGAGCAAGCTTAATCAACTCCGCTGTGGATTGTGCATACCAGGTAGAACTGCCAAGGGGGTTTCTGTGGGGGTGAGAATATAGAAGTTTGAAAATTGCAGGCTCCCAGATTTGAAAGCAATTAAGATAATAAGAGGCAAAGTGCTTTGCTTATCCGTTTATCCATGGGGGAGGATTAGGGGGAGAAATGTTGCTGCTGCATACAGAATCTTCCCAAATGCTGCTTTTCTGATGAGTTTCTGGACCAGTTCTGACAGGTACTTGGATTTTAGTGCCTTCTACAGAGGTTGCAGGTGTTCAGACCTGTGCCAAGTCTCAACTTGCTTATCACATCGTATTGCAGAAAGTGCGGAAGTATCATTGCTGAACCATTGTGCCTCGGTTTCCCTGTTATACTGACCTATAACAGAGGTTATAGGGATGAACGTTAAGCACTTTTAGGTCGTCAAATACAAGGCAGATGGAAGTGCAAAGTACTATTGTCCTGGACAGGAAATCTGCAAGGATGAATGTTTACAAAAATAGAAAGCACAGTACATTTGGCAAAAAGCTCTTACCATGTGCTTTAAAATGTATCTAAAACATTCCCAGAAATCAGGCTGTAAAATCTTCTAGAAACAAGGATGCCTGTTTGAAGTCCACTCAATGCCCATTATCACACCTTGCCCCACATCTAGAGCTGACTGGGAAAATACAGAAACATTTTACAAAACCTTTTCATAATCATGGAAACAGCAACCAGTTTTTCATCCGCAGTGACCTATAAGATAGAAGGTTTGCTTTAAATCCAGCTAAAAGTAATGTGGAAACTTTTTCGCAAGCTTGCTTGAACTGGGGACTGGACCCAGAATCAGAGTGTAAGGAGACAGACCAGGTCCTACGGCTAGAAAGGGCCATAAAGAAGTCCTCCAGTCCGGCTAGAGGGGCTGGGAAGAACCCAGCCAATCAGGGGCCAGGAAAGACTACATAAGAAGCTGCAGCACCAGCGTCAGTGCAGTTGCAGCCCAGACCTGAGGGAGAGAAGGCCCAGGGTAACTAAATGGCCTGAGGGAGCAGCTCTGTGGGCGAGTTTCTTAGAGAAGAAGATAAAGCCGTGAGCTAAGATTGGAGTGGGGCGAATGAACTGAGAGAACTAACTGGACTCAGAGACACGCTGCAGAGGACACGGGGGACAGGCCTCTGTTAGAGGTGCACCCGGGAAGGGGTTGTGATTTCACACGAGACCAGAGGGAAAGGGCTGAAAGCTGAGACCGTGCCGGAACCCGCACTCGACCAAAGGAGGGAGCTTGAGGGAGGGGAGCGCTGCCCCCTTACCCAGACCGAATGCAAAGAGCATTCAGACCATCAGTTCACAACGGGTTGTTGAAAACCTCTGCCGGCGTTGTTCTGCACGTCGCCTGTCCTTCACAGCTCTGTATTCGGTGTGCGGCCGTGTGCAGCAGTCACATGGCATTGTCCCCGTGCGGTATCTCCTGGCAACGAGTCATTCCTATTAATTTCCATTGAGAATACGAATAGATGGTCGTATCTGGGCCACGTTTATCACAATACCAGCCAGAGCTGCCCGACTGCAAACAGTTAAGAGAGTATTTCCTCAGGTTTCCTGCAAAAGGTGGCTGTTAATGTGAAGAACAGTGAAGAGACCTACAACAGCAGGTTTTTTTCCATAGATTCACAGTTTAATGCCGGAAGGGGCCGTTAAATCATCTAGTTTGGCCGCTTGTATATCAGAGCATTACATTTCACTCTGTTCCCTGTACTGAGCCCTGGCATTTGTTTGGCTCAAGCATGACCTGTTTGGCTCAAGCTGGCCTTCCAGGAAGGCATCCCATCTTGATTTGGAGACATCAAGAGATGTGCCTGGTTTTTTCTACTCCCCTGGCTCTCCTTGCAATGGCTAATCACCCTCTCTATTCTCCATCTGAAGGCACTAATCCACGATTAGCACATCACCTCTCAATCTTCTATGTACATAAGAACATAAATACGGCCGTACTGGGTCAGACCAAAGGTCCATCTAGCCCAGTATCCTGTCTGCCGACAGTGGCCAGCACCAGGTGCCCCAGAGAGGGTGGACTGAAGACAATGATCAAGCGATTTGTCTCCTGCCATCCCTCTCCAGCCTCTGACAAACAGAGGCCAAGGACACCATTTTATCCCCTGGCTAATAGCCTTTTATGGACCTAACCTCCATGAAATTATCTAGCTTCTCTTTAAAATCTATTACAGTCCTAGCCTTCACAGCCTCCTCTGGCAAGGAGTTCCACAGGTTGACTACACACTGCGTGAAGAAGAACTTTCTTTTATTAGTTTTAAACCTGCTCCCCATTAATTTCATTTGGTGTCCTCTAGTTCTTCTATTTAGGGAACTAATAAATAACTTTTCTTTATCGGCCCTCTCCACACCACTCATGATTTTATATGTAGCTGCTAAACAAAGGGAGCTCTTTGACTCTCTATCTGTCAGGATTTTCTCCAGCCTCACATCATTTTTGTAGCTCTTCTCTGCATCCTCTCCAATTTCTCAACATCTTTTTTTTTAAATGTGGACACCAGACCATGGCAATGTTCCCTCTAATCTTTTCCGCCCATTTTTCCATCCGTGTGTGGAATAATTTTATGTGCACCGAGGCATGTAATTTTATGTGCACCAGAAAAAAAAACCCTAGCTTTGGGTACTCTGCTAATCAGGCCGAGGCGGGAGGTGGTGCAGGGCAGGGAGATGAGGCCTGAGGCTAGGGGAGGCGTCTGGCCTGACGTCACGTTGACCGGCGGGGGTGAGGGAGCAGGAGCGGTCGGCACAGTCTCCAGAGGCAGTGCAGCAGCCTGTAACACCGAGCTGCGCGCGCTCTTCACAATCGCCCCAGCGCCTGTGTGTTCTGAGGAGCCAGGCTTCATGGGGGGAAAGGCGGCTCCCTCTCGTGGCCTCTGTGCTCACAGTGCCAGCAAGGGCTCTGCCCAACACCCATTCGTTTCACACGGGCCACTGCAAATTCATCCACTCTTCCACCACCCCCTTGCCTGCAGGCCAGCTGTACCCCAGAGGCCGTCTTGTCCATGCCCAACCCTCTCCCCTAGCCCCTTTTGTCTTGATTTGTAATAGTTCTTTCCCTGGACCTGTGGCCATACTCAAACTCTTTATTCCGACATGTACTGTCTGGCCTGATTCATGCTTCCCAGTTCCTGCCTTTCCCAGCGATTTACAAGGCTCCCCTATCCCGAACACGATGCCAGATTTGGGGGTTGTCTGCTCCTAGATTAAATGAAATTCCAGCTTCAGGCGAATTTGACCCCTCTAGTCCTCCCATTGAAAAGGGATTATCTTCTGTCAGTCCAAACAATGCGCCAGCGCTGAGCCGAGTGATTTGAAACCGCCCAGATCCTGCTGAGCCTTTCTAGCCCCCGGGACCGTTCCTCGCCATGCAGGTGAGGGGCTGGATCGTGAAGTGCCTCTGATCGGCTTGTCATTTAAAGGGATTACCGAGAGCAAGGACAGCCAAGATGCTTGCTCCAGCATGTAATGGGGAGCTACTGGCAAACAGCGGGAAGCTGTGTAACAGAAAACTGTGCTGTGCAGCATGGGTTCTGTGCCACCACTTAGATAAAGAACTAGCAAAAAGTTTCATAAGATTATGTACAAAATTCAGTTAAAAACCATTAAACAAACTCTTACAGGAAATGTGGCTTTATAAAAATCTGTTAAAAAAGAATTAAACAAATAAAAATCCAAACAAGCCCTCAGCCCAGGAAAGGAAAACAGAAATAGCGACGATCATCTGGACTGTGGCATATGGCATAAATACACAGGAATTCATTTACCATCTTAAGTAGAACAAATATGGCTCTGTTACATCATTGGAGGTCATGTTAATGTGCCAAGATTTCAGTCAGACAACAAATCACAGTGGCTCGGCCATGTCTGGATTAGACAGAGGCACACTGCAAACAGGAAGGAAACACATCCTGCCAGCATGTGGGCGAGGGTCACAGAGCAGTTCGATCGCTTTTCTGTCTGCAGACAACCACGGTCAAGGAGAATTCAGGAGACCTAGGAAATCTGTGGAGGGAAAAGTCTCTCAAACTGGTAACAACAGGACTCCTTGGCAGATGCAGGAAGATGAAAGCGTTGCCAGATGCTCCAGGAACGGGTCATTCTGCCGAGCGTCAGACACAAAAGCCTCCCCTTTATTGATAGGCAACCTTCACACAGAAGGTTTCTTCATTCTTGTCTTCCTGGTCGTTGATATAAATCAGAATTTCCTCCTCGCCGGTGCTCTGGCTGGGTGCGAACCGCAAGCCAATGGTGTACGTCTCCCCTCCTCCAAGCTGCAAGAAGAGTGAAATGAAAGCACTAAGCAACTCCCTTGCCCCGACACCAGCCCGGCTCACCCAATCATACACGTGTGCACAGCACCAAGCCGCAAGAGGCGTCCGTCGGCTGACAAAACAGATGAGGGAGATGGGAGAGGAGCCCACAGAACGTGGCCTGTGATTTCCACCTGGTGCCGGGGTCAGACATTCCAACCCACTGGGTTCACCCGGCACCACCTTTCCCCAGCAAACTCCTACCGCACACAAATGAAGCCTGATGTTTTCAGACCGCCTGAAGCAGACTCATCTAGTTCCAGCCCTCCTGAGCAAACGCTGCAGTGTCACTGGGAGTGGAATTCAGGATAAACACCAGGGGTACGTCTAGACTACGTGGCTCCGTCGACAGAGCCATGTAGATTTGTTTGTTCGGCAAAGGGAAATGAAGCCGCCATTTAAATAATCACGGCTTCATTTAAATTTACATGGCTGCCGCGCTGAGCCGACAAACAGCTGATCAGTTGTTTGTCGGCTCAGTCCCCTGTCGACATGAAAGCCCTTTATCGACCTCCCCGGTAAACCTCATCCTACGAGGCATAACGGGGAGGTCGATAAAGGGCTTTCAGGTTGGCGCGGGAGCGTCCACACTAGCGTGCTGAGCCGACAAACAGCTGATCAGCTGTTTGTCGGCTCAGTGCAGCAGCTATGTAAATTTAAATGAAACTGTGATTATTTAAATCACGGCTTCATTTCCCTTTGACGATCAGCCTAATCTACATGGCTCCATCGCTGGAGCCATGTAGTTTAGACACACCCCAAATGACGGACCAGATCAGACCACGACGTGCAGAAAAACACGTGGGGAGTAATTTTCAATTGTGCTCCCCTCCCAGACCCCTTCCTGAAGTCAATGGCAGCAGCATCTCTGGGAGTCAGCCACTGAGCTGCGGGGGAAACCATGAACCTTAGAAAACCTTTGAGGATTGAAAACCAGAAAGACTTGCAGGCCGATGTGGGTATCTGAGCTTCCCCCACACTTTGCTACCTCAAAGGAATCCTCCTTGAACTGCAGCAGGTCCGCTCGGTTGGTATGCAGGAAGTACACCCTCCGGGAGGGATACGGGTTCGTGTACGTGATCCGCTTGTTGGAGCCTTTCCCTCCGCCGGCAGGGAGTGTTATTTCAAACGCCTGTGGCCGGAGAGAAGAAATCACAGCGTTGTCATTTCAGTACCGACACCGGCCAGGCTGGAGAACTGCAACCCCCGATTACAGAGGGAGACAGCTCAACTGCATTTCATTTGCAAATTCAGTCCAATCAGTGTACGACCAAATGGGGATCTAAACTGGATAACGCACTACAAAGGCACTTTGCCCTCTCTTGAAATACGCATCTCCCCACCAACTGCTGCGAATGAGCCACACCCACCCTGACTTGATTAGCCTCGTTAACACTGCTCCGACACTTGACAAGTAACTTCTTTCTTTTGAGGTTCATAGACACGCTGCACTCCTGGTGGCTCTAAGGACTCTGAGCAGGGGGGAGGCCTTCTGGCCCCTTCCCCCCACCTTGCCCAGGGGTCTGTGGAGGCTGTCAGTGTCCCTGGGGTTGCTAGCAATATTCCCTCTAATCTTTTCAATGTGTGTGCGGAATAAATGTTATGTACACCAGGCACATGTGGATGTGCACCACCAGTAGAATCAAAAATCCCAGCTGTGGGTGCTCTGCTAATCCACTGGGTCTCATTGGAATCTCTCCCGAGCAGCCACACAGGCGCCCAGCGTACAGGGAACCCTGGTTGCCAACTGTCAATAAATTCACAGACAGTCGGTAAAAAAGAGCTAAAATTGGACCTGTCCATCAAATCCGTTCCAACCTCTAGACAGCAGTAAAACGCCCTGCGCTTTGCCATGGAGCTGAGGAGCCCTTCCCCCTTGGGCTGGGATGAACGCCGCCCCATGCGCTAGGGACAGAGGGGAATTCTGCCGGGGGCTCCCTCCCTCCCTGCTGGCTGGTGGCAGCTGCTCTTCTCCCCCCAGAGCTAAAATTGGACCTGTCCATCAAATCCGTTCCAACCTCTAGACAGCAGTAAAACGCCCTGCGCTTTGCCATGGAGCTGAGGAGCCCTTCCCCCTTGGGCTGGGATGAACGCCGCCCCATGCGCTAGGGACAGAGGGGAATTCTGCCGGGGGCTCCCTCCCTCCCTGCTGGCTGGTGGCAGCTGCTCTTCTCCCCCCGCTCAGCCCAGCCGCAGCGTCAGGTGGGCGTTTGTGCGGCACGCAGCCCTCGGGCTCCCCTCAGCTGGGGGGGGCAGGGAACGGGGTACACTGGGCCGGGCGTAGCAGCCTCCTGCAGCCAGTAAGTCACAGTAGGGCAGTAACTGGCAGCAGCCCCCGTTCCAGTCAGCAAGGAGCTCCTGGGACTCCCCTCTCCGGGTGGGAGGAGGGACCGGAGGGGAGATGGTTTGGACCGGAGGGCGGGGGTGTGGCAGGTATAGAGCTGTGTCTGCACGCCTGCGGAACATTGCTCATGTTCCTCCCTTTGAGCCGTTTCTCAAGACCACGTTCCTATACAGGCCATAAAAATCACGTCCAGCGGTTGGTCGCCCTTTACTGACGGCTAAAACGCTGCATCGGCCGTGCGCAGGGGCAACTTTCGATCACCGTTAGTTCCCTCACGTCCCCCGGCTTCCCTCTCCACCGCGAGGCAGCGTGGCCTGTGCTTTCACCCCTACCGCCCGGGCAAAGCAGAGAGAAGGCGTTCCCGCCAGCCGAATTCGGCAGCCAGCTGTTTTCAGAGACAGGGTTATTAGCCCAAATCACAGAGGGACTCCCCTGGGAGGCTCGCCCGGCTGCTTTAGCACAGCCCCGGTGCTAATTCCCAGCGCTCGGCACACTGGAGTGGCTGTGTGAGGAGGGCGAGTGTAGCTGTGCTGTAACGTTGTGCTTAACTTCCCCCAGTATGGAGCATTACAGGGAAATGTTTAAAAAATGAACAACCATTACATGGGAAATCCAATTTATTACCTGGGCCTGGAATCCCAGAGCAGCCTGGAGTCAGCGCTAATGGGAAATACCTCTGCTGTGACTGACTTCCAGAAGTGATGTTCCCTCGGGGCGCTACGGGGGGGCCACCCGCCAGACAGAGGCCAAACATGATTCGTGATTGGGGTTTTCAGCGGGATTGTTCACACGCTAAGTGCATCCTGGATCCAACTCACGGTGCCCTGCCCTAGATAGCCCCTAACGTGCACCAAGTTCCCCCCAGACCTGTGGGAGCTATTGCAAATGCAAGAGCTACCCACAACTGCTCCCAAAGACACGCATGCCACAGGAGCCTGGACTTAGGGAAGTTCTTAAACGTGTGCATAAATTCCCACCGATTTCAGTGGCAGCAAGGCATGTGCATTCCTGAATGGGCCTGGGTTTGTGCTCCCGGGCTTTCCTGGCCTGAGATCTATATCAATAAAACAGGGAGAAGGAGCAGTACTATGTGCAAAAAGGGAAAACCCACCGGCACGTCCTCTGGTTAAACCTCCGGCATCTCTAAAGCGGCCGTCCAGAGCTAGCAATATATATTTATTGTATTAATATCTGTCAAAGTGGATTCCAGCCCACAAAAGCTTGGGACCAAATAAATGTGTTAGTCTTCAAGGTGCCACAGGACTCCTAGTTGGTTTTGCTGAAATGGAGTAACCCAGCTACCCCACTGAAAGCTGTTTTTGTAATTCAAATAGAAATTTGGTTGTACAGGTTGAACCTCTCTGGTCCAGAAACATCCCTGGTCCAGCATGATTTTAGTTTGCTGGATGTCCACTTAGCATGGGTGTGGCCAAGTTTCCTGCAGTCCCATAAAGTTTGATAACAGCCCCCAGTCCTGGCTCAGTGTTCTGTGCTGTCATCTGGCTCTAATTTACCCCTAGTTGTCTCCTAAGAGCCTAGTGAGCAGTGGCAGTGCTGGTGATGCTGCTAGACAATACTGACCTCCCGTGGTCCGGCAAATTCTCTGGTTCAGCACCGGTCAGGTCCCGAGGGTGCCGGACTAAAGAGGTTCAACCTGTATATGGCCTGGGAAGGCAATTCCTTTGGGGTTAGCTCCTGTGTCACAAAACACTGCTTCTCTAAGGAGATTAGCTCAAAGAATAAAATGAAAGATTGGTATTATCACTATCTGTCCCAAATGTTTAGAAATCAGTTTTGTGAACCTATAGTATATTCCCGGTGAAGGAAAGCGTGTTTTAAGGTGGAAGATACTGCAAAGAAATCAAAAGACCGTCCAAATAATAATAATAATAATGTTCCATACCCATTCTGATGTTCTAACAACACCCAATTTTAACAACAACAATTTTAAGGAGAGGGCAAAACTAAAGTTATAAGTTCCTAAGGGTATGTCCACACGACAACACAACTTTTGTTGATACCCAAAAGTCAACAAAACAAAAATTGCCAGAGGGTGTTCACCCTTGCTCCCTCTGTTGACAGAGCATGTCCACACTGGCAGCGTGAGCAATGCCCTGTGAGTATGTGTCCCACAGTGCCGTGTTGTGGGACTGCAGAGCTGAACCCTGCGCATCTTGGGATCCCCCCTCAGTTCTCCCACAGCATCCTTGGATGGTGGGAGCAGCATCATGGTTAGCTCTGTGAGCTCTCCATGCTGAGGAATGCAGCCTTCCCCCTGCAGCAACAGCCTGCCTGCTGCTGTGTTCCTAGTAAGGCAGAACAGGAGCACGCCAATGATTTGTTCTTTGTTTGTTCCCCAAGCAGAGCAGCTCATTCAGCTGCCAGACATATCCCAAAGCTTTGAAAGGGGAGGGACGCAGGCCTGCAGGGCAGCAGAGATCACAGAACACTGAGCAGAGAAGCCAGTTCTCTCAACAAAACAAACAGCCGAGTCCACGCTGGCTCTTCATTGACAAGGGAGGGGGAAAAAGCAAAAGTCTCTGCTAGGGGTGAAAGGTTTTGGTCACTGAAACAGGGCATTGAAGTGTGCACGCTCTCACTGTTTTGCTGCCAAAAGGCAGGTTTTGAGGACAAAACTTGGTAGTGTAGACAAGGCCTAGGAGTCAATGCAAGGGACTGATTGCAGACAAGAAGTGGTGGCTAGAGATAGATAGCTACAGTAAATAGATAGCTATGGATGGTAGCGACCATTCCAATAAAACTAGTCAGCTCACTTTACACTCAGGAAAACCAAACTTAACTAGCAGCTAAAGGAATGCCCAAATAAATGGCACAGGTGTAATTTGTAGACTCATGATGGCTGGGAGCTTAAAAATTAGATAGTTCCAGACCATGAGCCCCAGCGATGTCTGAACCTGGTGATATTCGAAACAAAAGGCGCTCTCAGCTATGCTCCTAACGCTTTCATCACTTCACACTGACTCACCAGCCATGCTAGGCTTCCGACTGACCCCCAGAGAGCGATCAGCCTGGAATGTTATTACATGGGTGCACCAGGTACCTTAGAAATGATGGGCTGTCGGCAGGAGACACACACCAGCCAGGACGAAACAAGCTGGTGGTATTCCACATCCACCAGATTGAGGTAGATAAACCTGCTGCCAGCTTTCTGTGGCCTCACGCCAACATGCAGGTCCTGCATGCCATTCGGAGGGAGAATAAACACCTCTTCTGGATCCACCTGCAGGGAACACGCCAAATGGAAACATTGCAGACAATCAAAAGGTTTCATTAGACTCCCTAAATTATGCGTCTCTCTGGTTCCGGAAGCTGGGGCTCCACCCGGCACATTCCACTGCAAAATGTTTTCTATTAAAAACGTAAGAAAAGCAGGATTGGCTTGATGACAAGGAGAGAGGGTGTGAGCGAGGGCCAAAGCTGTCAGCACTGTAATGTAACACGTTATCGGGGCAGCTTCAGCGTGCGAGCTGTAAATGTGCCATGAAAGATCCTTTTAGAGGCACCAAGCTGGGGTCCTTTGATCAAGTCAGAAAGGAAGCTAATCGACTGACCTTCTAGACTCCAGTGTGGAATGTGTTGGACCTGATCAAATATCGAGAAATGTGTGTTTCTGAGAAGGAAATTAAAGCTGGCTGCATTCATAAACCAGGCTCTAATGGCACCATAAAATCTCTGGCCGAGTTACATAATCGGAGCGGGGCTGCAGAGGAACTTTGAATTTCAATAACACAAATGCATTCTGCTGAGCAGTTAGCAACATCTGGAGTGCAAATCTCAACTAGCAATGTTAACGCTGTTTCTGCCTTGTGCCTAATGCCAGATCAATAAAGCACTGCCAACAGAGGGCGAGGCATTTCAGTTACACTCGAGTCACTAGGGTATGTCTACACTAGCCACCCTAGTTCGAACTAGGGTGGCTAATGTAGTCATTTGAACTTGCAAATGAAGCCCGGGATTTAAATATCCCGGGCTTTATTTGCATGTTCCCGGGCACCGCCATTTTTAAATGCCCGGTAGTTCAGACTCCCTGCCCACGGCTACAAGTGGCACGGGCTAGGTAGTTCGAACTAAAGCCCCTAATTCAGACTACCGTTACTCCTCATTGCAGGAGGAATAATGGCAGTCCGAATTAGGGGCTTTAGTTCCAACTACCTAGCCCGTGCTGCATGTAGCTGCGGGCAGGGAGTCCGAACTACCGGGCATTTAAAAATGGCGGCGCCCGGGAACATGCAAATAAAGCCCGGGATATTTAAATCCCGGACTTCATTTGCAAGTTCAAATGACTACATTAGCCACCCTAGTTCGAACTAGGATGGCAGTGTAGACATACCCTAGGTGCCCTGTGCAAAACAGAAGGTCTCAAACGCTGACTGTATTTCGTTGAGTGACGGCATGTACTCTAATGATTCAGCATCATGTTTATTACACACAGAGAGACACAGCTGGCAAAGCAGCTCCTGCATTTGTTGTTTGACTTATACATTCTTCTCTGAGAGCCCTACCAACACGATCTCTCCTACCAAAATACAGTCTGGCTAGCTAGACGAGAGGGCTGGTTGTCTGTACAGCTAGAACTCCCTTCCTGACGGGGAAGAGATACCTCAACAAAGCACAGTAACAAACACTCCCTTGAGGTGCTGAACAGATTTATGAATTGGCTAAGAGACCCCTGTGATATTACACAGCAAACAAGGAGGGGTGGGCGGGTAAATCTAGCAGGGTCTAATGCTTTCCTCAACTGCTGACAAGCTCAGTTTCTTCCCCCTCCCAAAGGGAGACATGGATCAGCTTGCTCTAGGAAGGAGATTCTGGACCTAGTCTGCCCAGGTCTATAAAAACCGTTTTCTAAGGCCATATAATCCATCAGAAAGAACGCTGCTTCACTTAACACAGGCACAGGCTGTGAGATCCAGGCCCAAAGTTCCCAGACAACTGCGCCCCTCGGTTTGTCAGCCAGTTTCTCCGACTCACGGGGCCTCGTTTTCCGAGCTGGCAGGCACCCCAATTTCCAGCTGACAGCAGGAGGATTCATGGATGCTTAATACCACACACACTCGGGCTCCGGGGGTTCAAGTTGGCCGGCTAAAAGTGGGAACAGCCCCAATTAGGACACTTGGACAACTTGGTCCTGAACATGGGCAGCAGGTGAAGTCCCAGCTGGGGAAGGCAGGGGCCAGCCCCACCCCTTACACACGAGTCCCCGCCCTTGGAGCCAACCTGTGCCCACCTCTAGCCCAATCCTTCCTGGCCACATGGCAGGCCGGAGCTGCCATGCTGAGGTTCCAGCCTTCCCCAGCATTTCCTCCTTGGTGCCTGGGGAGCTAGGTGCAGCCCTGTGGCCCCAACCTTCCCCGATAATGAGCGTATAGGCGGTTTGGGGAAGGATGCCTGCCCCTGCCAACTTTACGCACTGCCCATGATCCTGACCTGGTAACACTGAGGGAGCAACGCTCAAGGAGTGTCAAGAGGGCTTGGAAGAGGCCAGTCTGAAGGCAACGAGGAGTTTGATATGTCCGGTGACCTGGGGGCGGGCCCCTTGCAGGAGAGCTATCTCCCCTCTGCCAGCACCGGAGGGCTTGCACTCCAGTTGGACGGGTGGCTGTCCTGATCTTGGGACAGGAGGGGGCTGCGCTGGAAAGCTAGGATGTGCTGAAGGACACCAGAGCTGCACTACAGAGCCAGGACACGGAGAGAGATCCCCAGACTGTATTGGGTGGACTATGTCAAGGGAAATCCGGACTCTGGCTGGGGAGCTTTTGTTATGAGTTAGGGACATGGCACTTTTGTAATACATGAGCCCAACCAGACCTTTACTTACAGTAAGAAAAATGGGATTGTTTTGGAGGACTCTGAAAGGGGAAACTGAGGCAGGCCTGGAAGGGGCTGCCTTCTCACATCTGCTTCCCTGCAAGGTATTACAATTTTAATGACCCGTTTAGCCACTACAGACCAGCCTCTACATCATCGGAAACGAACAGACTTTAAGCTGTGCAGCTCCCAGGCCCGCTGTGGAGACTGAATTTGCTCCGGCCGCCGGCCGGGGGAGTCAGCTCCACTTTCTGCCTCCGTGAGGACAGCAGTCCAACGCCGATTTCTTTCTTTCTTTTTTCTTGATGTATGGAAGGGCAATGGAGTTTGTGTTGCTTTTCTTAGTCACATTTATAATTATGACTAAATGAATTCTAAAGAAATTATTAGTCTTCAGATAGTCTCCATTAATTCAGATAATTTGCCCTCGGGGGGTTTGTACCAATGATCCTACACATGACGACTTTAATCAAAAGATAATTATAATGAAGACTTTATGGCAGTAAATTGTTCATAATCCCTACTGGGGTTGGTTTCCTACTGGAGAGTTATTTTCACTGGGATTGTCAATGTAAGCCCATTCATAATTATAACTGGGAAGGATTTTGCTAATTTTCAGCTCACCCCGCACTACGCCCTCTTCCCAGTGCAACGTGTCACTCTGCGGCGGGGGGGAGAGAGGGCCGCAAGCCAGCAGAGGCCGGCGGCAGAGCTCACCTTCAGCTCCTGCGGATGTGAGGTATAAGCTCTCACTTTTCTGATGGTGTGGGTGCCCCTGAGAACCAGGGAAAGGCGAGTCAGCTGGCCAGTTATGCAGCTCACGTCCACACGTTGCAGCGAGTGAAGGTAAACCTGCCAGATCTGGATGGGAGCAGCAAGCCAGGCGTCCCTGGAGCGGAGAGAAGAGACGCCTGTCATGACACGGGTGCAGGAAGCGTTGCCACAATGGACAAAAGCGCACAACTGCAGGCGGAAAGGAGGAAATTGTGAGTCTGGTTCCAAAGTGTTTTGCACATCCCGTGCAACTCTAGAGGAGAGGTGAGTGGCTGAGCATGGGAATTGACTTCCCTCCCACACAACATTATGGAGGAGGAAGTTTTCAAGAGCATCTGGCTGTTTCAGGAGCTTAAGTCTTGTTGAAAGTCAAGCTGGGCTGCTTCCCCAAGACCCAGGCAGTGCTCCTTTTAAGCTGTGCGCTTGGGGTAAGGAGAGATTCAAATGCTGCCCTGCTGATTAGCAGATTGCCCACAGCTAGGTTTGTGTTTCTCCTGGTGGTGCACATTCACACCTGCCCTGGTGCACAGAACAAAATTCATTCTGCACGTTGATGGGAAGGATTAGAGGGAATATTCCCTCCTCCCCAGGGAATATGCAGCAGCACACCCAGCAGTGATCAGAGGGGATGGTGCAAGTCTGGGAAAGTATCTGAAGGGGAGAAAATCATCTTTTCCCCATCTGAAGCTCATTCCTCCCAGCTGGTCAAGGCCACCCCGCAGAGCCCACCCAATTCTCAGTTGAGTGAGACAGGATGGATTTTTCTAAAGCACCTAAATAAAACATAGGGAGCCGCTGTTATCCTGTCTCACCCGAGCCCTCATTCAGAGCACAGGCAGACATCACTGCCAAAGACCCGGGGTGCTGTAAAGAACGGTGTCTCAGAAAGGGGGCTTTCTCACGGCGGGCGTGCATTCAGGCTCACTGCATGGGTGCTTCCCGTGGTCTCCCGTATAGAAAGTTTCAACCCCCTTTTAATATCTTCGGGTATATCTAGACTACCACGCTAGTTCGAACTAGCGGGGGTAATGTAGTCATCCGCAGTTGCAAATGAAGCCCGGGATTTGAATTTCCCGGGCTTCATTTGCATGAAGCCGGCCGGCGCCAT